CGCTTATGGGATGTTAAGACAGGATTATAAAAGGCCAAATTGGATGGTCATGATGGTTCGGTCCTATCAGTATGCTTTTCTCCTAATGGTACTACTTTAGCATCTAGTAGTATTGATAAATCTATCCGATTATGGGATATTAAGAAGGAGGATTAAATTTTACTTACAGATAAACGTTATGAAGATATTCTCACAAAATTTAAGACCACCATGTTTAAAAATAATTATCTTTCATAAGGTTTATTTTTTCCAATATTTTTAGTCTCCAATATTATTTCTTCTCTACTTATATCCTAATAGCCCATATTTTAAGCATAAGGTACTCTAATCTTGAAAGGGGAATTTTTCAATAATTAAGGTATAGATTTACGATAATTATTTAAATCTAAAGGAAGTTGTATTTTGGAAATCTAAATAGAAGTTCCAAAATAATCAAATTAAAAATACATAATATCATGAAAAAATATATATATATCCACAATTTCAGTATTTGCCTTATGATATAGTTTAAATGATAATCTTTTAAATAAAAGTTTAAGATTCTACTTATTTAAAGATTGAGAATGAAAAATTTAAGAGGCTACAATTACCTATAACAGAAAAAGTAAATATACTAACTGGGGTGTGCATAAAAAATCCTTTAGCTAAGTTACAATTCTTTATATTGTTATAAATAGATTTAATTATGTTATTTAATAACTTTTTAAATCATAAATTTAAATCGATTTTTTTTAATACAACAATTAGAAGAAGAAAAATTTGGAGAACTTCAAATTAGTTTAATGAAAATCTTGATTAAAATTAATAAAATATACTTTTTATTATACAATAAAGTGTTGATCAAACTGTAGATGCATTTTTTATAGATTAAAAACTGTACTAAAATAATTGAAACAATCTCTATTTGAATAAAGCTTTTTTCAAATTGTCTGACAAAAATTTCCCAATCTACAATTTAAAAATGTTTAAGTGTGTCTTATATAAAGTTTGACTTCCATTTTTGTTAATTCGAATTATAGCCATGAAATTGAATAGAGCTTGAAGAATATTTTAATTTAACCTATTAAATTCTAAGCTATATTTTTTTTTTAATTTTATGCTTTTGGCTATAAGAAGACTTTTAATATCTTTTTTTTTCTTGAAATAATTTCTCTTGTTGATTTTAATTTTTTTTAACACATAATTTTTCTTAATTAAAGAAATTTAGGGAATCAAATTTCATTTTTTTAAGTCAAACAATAAACCTTTTAATTGAAAAAAAATATCACTTAGAACAATAGAAATGAAAAGTCCATTTCTTTGATGATTGTATAAAAGTCCCTGAAATAAGAATACATAATATCATATTAATAAAAAAATAAAAACTGATAAATAAATAGGCATTCAAAATCCTTCAATCAAATTTATCTTATTCTAAGCTATTTCTAAGAATCTTTTTACCTACCATTGTGCAATTTATTGCATTTAAAGTGTTTATAATGAATAAAATTCATCTAACAAATACTTATATACAAAAAGACTTTCAGAAGTAACAAACTTGGAAAAAAATAGATTAGAATTGATCACATACTTTATTATCCAGAAAAAAAAACAGTGCAGATTTATTATGCTTTCAATAAATTTACTGATTCATATTATTTTTAATTATTTTAAAAAGTAAAATGACAGATTTATTTTTAATAAGCTTGTATTTTCCAAATTTACTAATTTTACTTGCTTTTACAAGTTTATTTAAAATAATCTATAAATTAAAAAGTAATCTTAGATTTTAAAAAATGATAGTACCATAATTCACAAAATGGTAATCAATATTTTAATAGCTTTTAATTTTATGTATTTTAAATTAATTAAAGTTGATAATTGTGGCAATAAAGAAAAATTTGTCTTTAAAAAATTTGCAAAATTGTAAATAATATATTTTCAAATGATAAGTTAAAATTAATTAAGTTATTGATCATATAATTATTTTTTAGTGTCAAGATAAATTTTGATCTTTTACTAAGAAATACTCCAAATATTCACTTAAAATTGTATTTCACCATATTAAAACTATTCATCCAAAGCCTTTATTTTAATAGATTTAGAAATAAATCCTCATTAAAATACATAATTATGAGGTAAATCAATATCCTTTATAATTTTATGATATGAATATACATATCTTTATTCGATCAAATATTTCCACTAACTGTTTATTAATGAATACATATTCAATAAAATCTTGATGGAATATAAATTTAAAAGAAAACCCTAATCCATTAAAAATGGTTGAAAGTAAAAGCTGATAAACACCATTGAAAGCCTTTAAAAGTTATAAAATATATTTGTGTTAATTTAAATTTAATTTATTTGAACTTCCGTTATTTTTTAATATTTTTGAATAATTAATATGTGTCNAAAAAAGTGATGATTTTTTAAAGCTAATGTGTTATTAATTCATAGAGTTATTTTTTCTTTCTATTTCATTTCATCAAATCATTAATTTTCTTACTAAGAATTACTTTTATTTATACTTCTGATAACAAAAATTTGATTATATGTATTTTAAATTAATTAAAGTTGATAATTGTGGCAATAAAGAAAAATTTGTCTTTAAAAAATTTGCAAAATTGTAAATAATATATTTTCAAATGATAAGTTAAAATTAATTAAGTTATTGATCATATAATTATTTTTTAGTGTCAAGATAAATTTTGATCTTTTACTAAGAAATACTCCAAATATTCACTTAAAATTGTATTTCACCATATTAAAACTATTCATCCAAAGCCTTTATTTTAATAGATTTAGAAATAAATCCTCATTAAAATACATAATTATGAGGTAAATCAATATCCTTTATAATTTTATGATATGAATATACATATCTTTATTCGATCAAATATTTCCACTAACTGTTTATTAATGAATACATATTCAATAAAATCTTGATGGAATATAAATTTAAAAGAAAACCCTAATCCATTAAAAATGGTTGAAAGTAAAAGCTGATAAACACCATTGAAAGCCTTTAAAAGTTATAAAATATATTTGTGTTAATTTAAATTTAATTTATTTGAACTTCCGTTATTTTTTAATATTTTTGAATAATTAATATGTGTCTAAAAAGAAATTTAATAATATTAATATCATGAATCAATATAATGATTTGATTGCAGTAGGAATGGAATACATTTTTCTCATCCTCAACATCCATATCAATTATCAAATTTGCTTGATTAAATTGAAAAATTGAAAAAAGAATGTGATGATTTAATTAATACGTTAAATAAGTTTATCAATCATTTGGAGGAAACAAAATAAATATCAAAATATATAAGGAGTAAATCTTTAACTTGAACTCCAAACAAATAAATTCGATCTTGACTGAAACCAACCAATTTTCAAATCTTTTAGATCTACAATCGATACACTCATTCAAAAATCTTTGAAGTGAACTTCAAGAATAAAAATAAAAAATATATTAAGACTTATATTTATAGTTCATTTGTCACAATTACAAAATTAATTATTCCAATTATCAATTAATTGAATTATTATCAAGTGTCTGATTCAGATTTAAAGAAATCGGAAGAACTATATTAAAAAGGTAATTAAATTTATAATTTCGGATATAAATTAAAAAATTAAAAGATTTAATGAATGATATTAATTTTTAAGCATTAATTAGAATTATGATGTAAAGGTAGGATTATAATTTAATTTGTTAGCTGAGAGTCTAATTTTGCTAGGTTAAAAATTAAGTTGTTATGAAGATGCTTGACTATTATAATGAAACTATTATTTATGCAGATGCTTTGATCTTGAAACAGTTAATTTTATAAATATAATTTTTCATGTGCAATAGTTTCTAATTTTTTATCAAAATTTTTATCTAATGACTCTTTAGATATTATTATTCACAATTTCACTAATTTTCTCCTTAATTTGTTCTAGGTTTCGATTATAATTAATTCAAAAGCAACCACTATTTCTTCTGAAAGTAATCTAGAATAGTCTTTTTTCAATCTCTTATGAAAATGATTGAACACTTTCAAATTCTATCACTGTCACTCTTTATCATCAAATAAGATTTAGTTTTCATCAACAAAAATAGGGTTGTCTGTTAAATGTTAAATGAATCCTTCGGAACATAAAATTAATCTCTCTTGCCTTAAGGGTTGGTCATTTGATAATCTAAATCATTTCAAATCAAAATTTAAATGTTAAGTTTTTTTTAAATTTTCATCTCTATTTTACTCGGTTAATGAATTTTATTATAAATTCATTATTACAAATCACATAATTTTTTTAGATTCTCAGTGGTAATAATGAATTCCCTAATTTTATTTCTTAAAATATTTTTATTGATATTAAAAAGTTTATTTATTCTAATTATAATTTTAATTAATCAAAAGACAAAAAAATAATTGAAATTGTGAAAAAGGAGCATATTATGTAAATAGATATTTCTGATTTGGAAATACTATATAAATATGATTTTTTGAATTAACTTCTCATATTGTTGAAAAATTAAGAAATTAATCTTATTACATACAGTTTTAACGTTAACTTTACTTTCATTGTCTTCAAACACTTCACTTATATTTATTTTACAATTTTTCATATCTTCCTTCTTACTATTTTAATCAATTATTATTTATAATTATCTAAATTTCGAGATCCAACTTTGAGTATAATTTGTCTTATAATTTAAAATTATCATATTACTTCTCCTTAATAATTCATCTTTTGATGGAATAGTAAATATTATTAATTATTAAATCATAATGTCCTTCTTAACATTATTGTTGTATACTCTACTATTAAATTTTAAAGGTATAACAAAACATAATATTTTTAAAGAAATTTTACATTTAAAATTTAATTATTTTTTTGATTAATATTATTATTTAAATAATTAAATTAGGATGTCATCTGCATTTCACATTCATATTGGAGGGGCTGGTGTAATGATAGGTGATATGCTATGGAAATTGTATGAGAAGGAGCACAATGAGACAACATAGAAGAATTATATTTATGAATAAGTTGATGGGCATTATCATCCATTAGTATTATTTATTGATTTAGATGACAGAATGATATTTGAAGTTTAAAGAAATAAATAAATTTAATTTAAGAAGAATTCATTTCTTAATGGAACAGAAGACGCATCAAACATTTATTCTAAAGGAAATTATACTTACGGGAAAGAGATTCTTGATTAGGGATTAGAGTATATTAGAAAATAAGTAGAAACTATGGATCGATTAGATTAATTTCTAATAACAACATCAATAAGTGGAGGGACTGGGTCTGGATTTGCTAATTTATTAATGAGTAGATTAATTTTGGATTATGGAAATAAAGTAAAAAAAAATGCATTTATACTATTCCCTTCTTCAGAGATGTCTAATAATATTCTTGAAACTTATAATGCTACTTTTTCAATTAATATGACAAAAGAGTATTTTGACAGTGTCATTATGTTTGATAATTAGTCCATGTACAGTGTAATTGATCAACAATTAGATTTAGATTATTTAGATTATTCCCATTTAAATAATCTGATTGCATAAATAATTAGTTCATATACTGGATTAAGAAGATTTAATCACATTGACAATTCCAAATTTTTTTAAAATATGTGTCCTTATCCTAATTTGCATTATTTCATACCATCCTATGGTAAAATGAGTTTAATAAATGATTACACTAGAAAATAATCTAATCAAACTGAATTCATAAAATATCTAACTCAAAAATAGATTAAACTTTATTAATGTCCTAAAAATCCTAAACATCTCTCAACAACCTTATTATTTAGATAAAAGGAAGAGAACCATTTTTATGGCAAATTTGATTCGACACTTTAAAATTTAGAACATTTCTATAACTAAACACCTCGAGTTTTTCAATGCACTTCATCTAATTATTAAGTATTATCTGAATTAGCTTAAATGAAATAAACTGGAACATTCTTCTCTAATGATGCTTCAATTGTTAGTAGATTTAGGTTGTTAGGAAAAAAATTCGATTTAATTTATGAAAAAGGAGCTTATCTCTGGGCTTATGTCTCTGAAGGTCTTGAAGAATTTGAATTTAGTGAAGCAAGAGAAGCTTTGGCTTCTATTGAATCTGATTATAGTCAAATTGATGTAGCACCGGTTTCTACAAATCATAATAACTGAATTATGGGTTATAAGAATGATTATTCACAAAATTTCATCGAAATAAATTTATTCAATTATAAAAATTTTTGAGTCAGAAGTATGTACTGCATCTTAAGGTTTTTTTTGATGTCTTTAATTTATCTAGACACAATCATGAAATTAATATATTCATTTTTTAACTAGATCTGTGGAATTGAATAAATATTTTTTAATTTTATAATAAATAATATTATATTAAATCTTAATACTCATTTTTCTTTATATTTTATGATTTATATTATTTTTTTTTATAATTCCAAGTGATCAAATAATCTCCATCATCACTAATTACTCCATATATATACTATGCATCAAAATTTATAGATTATTCAGTTAAAAATTCTGCATTTAATTTTTTCATTATCAAATTGATATATTTTGGCCATTCTTACTCACAAGAATACATTTTGAATTTGTATATTATTAAGGAAATGGACAATTTTCAAATGATCCACATTTCGCATCAACATCCCTAGTCTTTGTAAATTACTAATTAAAACTGTTCATCTCATACACTTTATTTTTATGATAATGTGAACATATTATTATCAATAAAACTTACTCTATTTGTAGATTATTAAACTTTAATCGTTTATATTACGATCTATTCTTTATTACATCCTTATTATTCCATTATTAATATTAATTAATCATAACCACAAGATACCACTCTATTTTATTATTAGTTTGCACTTAATCCATAAACATAACTAGAATGATCTTTTATTGTTTAATAATACGTCCATTCATTCTTTTTCATCCAAAATTTAATAGTATAATCATAACTTCCTGATATAATTAAATCTTAATTATTATCTACTATTAAACAATAGATATATTGATTATCTCCAATTAATATCTACTAGGAAATCCATTAATTATTTTATTTTTATTGCCATATTATATCGATTTATCTTCATTCCCAGATATCAATTAATTTGATTTATTCATAAAGTTTAGAGTATATATATTATTTTTATGTTCACTTAAAATTTAAGTCTATTTCATCATTCCTTACCTAAATTCATATACTTTTATTTAAATGTAACATCCAGCCAATAATGCTGAAACAATCTTTATTAATTGCTATTGCACAACAATATTAAATTTATAAATAATTTTTTTAAGATTAGATTTAGTTACAAGTGATTATTTTAATAAAATATTTTTATGCTTATCTTAAGATTTGTCATTAATTTAATTGTTAATATTAAATTTGCTTAATGGTTATAAGTCTTAATATCATTATTATGCAAAGTTTAAATTGTCAATTTTTATTTAAGATAATTTTAAGGTTGCTAATGTTTAATAATTACATAGATAATTAATATTCATTGAATCATTACTATTATTAAGAATTAATCTAAATAATTATCGATATTATTGAATGAAGACTATAAAACTTAAAAATAAACAATATTACTTCTATGTAATTTTATGCACCTTCTAAGCATTCCACTATCTTATATTAAATAGCATCACTTTTTATTTCAATCTTTTTATTCATTTTTTTATTATTTTTTATATTTTTATTTAACAAACATAACAATCTATATTTTCTATTTATAAACTAAAACATAAAAATATTTTACAATTTAGAATTCTATTAAAATAAATGATAAAAAAGTATACAAATCAATTTTTGTAAAGAGAATTTGAAATACTATTTCATTTTAATTCAATTTGATTCTTTTTAAAGAGATATTTTTGGTCTTAAACATAATTCTAATGCTATTAACTATAGTATTATTCATTTTGTTATTCAGATCCAAATCAAATAAGTTAACAAAATACCCTCTACTTTTATTAAGCTATGATAGACTGCAAACATTAATTATTGAAGTATAAATAAAATACAACTATTTGAGTTTAGTAAACAATTTTTCCAAATCTCTAAAGCAATTCAATAAGAATGCACTTTATATTTTGAAAATTTTTATTAATAGAATATATTAAGGAAACATCTAAAAAAGTGAACCATTATATCATATGTTTATTTTGTAAAAAAGAGTGTTATGAACTTGATAGCATGAAGCTTGCAATAATTATAAAGTAAACAATATGATATCTTTTTAACCTAATGAATTTTCAACTGAATTTAGTTTAATTATATTTAGAATTATATTTAATTATATCATAAATATGAGAAATATTAACTGCGTATTTTTTAATTGTTTTAACAAGGTCATCAAAACTATTAAGTGAATTATTTTTACTTTTACTCTAGCTCAATAAAAATTAATTCATAATAACGAAATAAATTTAAAAGCTCCTATTTGAGTCATCCATGACTATTTAATGTTCATATAAAAAATTTAAAATAATATAAATTGAATCAAAGGTTACTATATTTTCACTATAATACTATATTAAAAAAACTCTTTCTAGCAAAATCAATTGAACAAATGATTATTATTATAATTAGGGCATATAATACTGATTATATGATATATTGAATTTATAATATCGATTTGACTCAATTTAGCCAAATACTTAATAAAAATTAAAAATTTTAAATAACATAGTCTTAATGCTTTGAATACTATATTATGATAATAGTTACAATGAGGATTGATCATTGCAGCAATAGTATACAATCATTTTTATTAAAATTCCTCATTATTTATTGTAGAATGTTTTTGCAATCTATACATTAAAAATATCAATATTACCTTACTTAATTTATCTATAGATGATTAGATTATATTAAGGCAAATTATCATTTTCACTTTTAATTATGAAAGCAAATGGATAGTTCAAGTTATATTTAAGTAGGCTTTAACAAACTTATAAATTGTATTATATTTAAATATATTTTTAAGATGTCATATTTTTTCAAAAATTATATTAAATTGAGTATTTTATATTTGGATAATTTTTAAAGCATCCAAAATATCATTTGATTACCCTTATTTAGTTTACTCAAAATATCATTCATCTAAAAAAGAAAATTAGCATTTTAATAACTATCTAGTCATGGTTTTGTGAGAGTAAGCTGAGGAAGTAGTCCTCTAAAGTTATAAGTAGTTTTGTGAGGTTGAAGACTTTCAGAGTTGGAAGTCCTTTAAAGATGGAGTCGAAATAGCTTCCCATATTCTCCACATAGAAAAAAGGGCTAAGGAGGACAGCGTTTTTATTAGGCAGGTGGTTCAATTCTATAAGCTCAAAGTTTAGGCTTGGAAATAGGGAGGACCTTTGAGGGAGATTGTGTACTTAATTGTAAATTTATAGCATTGTGGGGATATCTACACTTTCTCAGCCTTTATTAATTAACAGACCGAGCCACTGAGAAACCCTTTAATTGTATGTGACGCATTATAAATGTTAATGAAAATAATAAGATTTTCTAAATTTGCTTAGCCCATTAAGGGTTATAATAAAGTTTTTTAATTTTGAAATTTCTGAAAAGATTGATTTACAAGAATTTTTTATAAACCTTTTTATAAAGCAACAATCATTTTTTTATAGTTCAATAGATTGAATTGAATAAACTAAGCCTAAACCAACCCTTATTAATAAGGCCTTTTATGTTCTAAAGTTCAAAATGAGTCAAATTAATAAAAGTTAATAAAATTAAAAGAAAAAATTTATTTAGAACTGAAAAAAAATTATTTCTAAATAAATGGTATTGTAATGAAAACATTTAATTCAACCAGTACTTGAAATTGATAAAGATATTTTTTAGTATTCAGAATAATAAGAAGGCTGATTACTAAAGGAATTCAATTGTTCATTACTCAGACATCATGAAATAAACTAAAATTATTGATCAATATTGGCCTATATATTTAAAATTTCTAGCTTGGTTGGTGAAATAGACTTATTCTTAATTTACATCCTTCATAGTTTTATATTATTAATCTCTAATAATATTTTTTTTACTCAAAATCTAAAAAAATTGATCTTTGAAAATCCTTCTTAGTTCAATATTACCTCCTTTCAAAAATAAAAGATTTATAATGTATAATTATTTTTTTATAAATCTAAGGTTTATTAATATTGCTGTATATAATTGTTTAATTTCAAAGGGGAAAACAATAAAAAAGATACATTTGAGAAAATAATTAAATTTTTAGGAAATTTTTAATTTTCCTTAGCAGACTTTAATTTTGGTATATAAGCTGTGCAAATTAAAGAAATTTACAATCTTCTTTTAAAACGAAATGAAAGAATTAAAAAAATTTTTTAGATGAGTATTCACAAAAGTAAGAATATTATTGATTATTGATGGAATTAAGTCTAAATAATGTAAAATTTAATGAATTAGAAAATAAGTTAAACTTTGAAGATTGGAAAAAATTTATTTACTAATTAGAAATAATTATTATTAATTAAATATTAATTGAATTAATTTTCATAAATTTTTTAACTAGAATTAAATCCTTCATTATATATCAAAAGAATAATAAATTAATAAAGTTTATTTAAGTATAATAACAAAAAATGGTTAAGACAATAGAAAAGCAAATTATAATGATAATTCCTTTTTGGATAAAGACTTCAAAAGAAAGTCGCATTTTGAAGAACAGGTATTGCATAAGATTTAAACGATATAACAAGAAGAGTTTGAAAAATTGAATTTAATTTGTGAGCGATTTTAAAAGCTGAATAATAATTAAACTTTATAATTTGAATGAATATTCTTTAAAAGTTTTGTAATATTCTCCTTGTTTATAAAATTTTAGAATCATAAATTAGTAACTTAAAGAACTCTAATAACCTAAAATGAACAACCTTAACATTTATTTTCTTCTTAAATAATAAGCATATATTAAATATTTAGTAATTTATAGATTCAATAAGAATAACAATACGTTTTATAACAATGAATATTTTGGTTAAACAGATAATGCGATGGGGAGGAAATTGATAAATTATAACTTAGAGATATACTCTATCTAAATAAAAAGCAAATAGGAGAATAATTAATTGTGGTCATTTAAATGATAGAATTCTTAGATTATCTTTGGGTATTAAATTAAAATAATAACAAATTAATAATGTCCTAATAACTCAAGTATTTTTGATTGAAATATCAATCCTCAAATTTATCTAATTATTTAATTTTTCTATTTAGGTGCACTTTAAATAGTTTGAAATTCATTGATCCACATATATCTACTGATTTTAGAAACTTATTAATTTGATTTCAAGCCTAATCATAATAAATTGACTAATAGAATACTATCTTCTAAAATTTGTTTCCTATTCTCAATAAGAAGTATTATTAACTATCAGCTATGATGAATATATGTTTCTACAAATCAAATGATATACATTCTAAATCATAATCCTACTTCATCTATTTTATAGAGTTTAAATCCTATTATAATATTATTCAACTTTTAAAATTATGATGTTTGAAAAAAATTAGCTTAGTAGAGACATGATACAGTTGATAGAGAAAGAATATATTAGAAGAAATTATAAAAAAAGTTCTCATTCGAACCTTTATTAAAGGTTTAGAAGACGATGAGAATAATTTAAAAATGCTTTTGTACTCCAAAGTGATTAATGCAAATCTAAGTATAAAGGATATAATTGAAAATAATCTTGATTCAAAATTCAATAGCAGTAACTTATTAAACTGCTAGAGATTCTTTTAATAATGATATCTATTCTTACTAAATCTATTTATAATAAAAGATAAGTTTATCCTTCTTATACTTTTGAACAAATAGCATATTGATATATGAAAAAGGTGATTACTTATATTTTTATTTACAACTCTAAAAAGTTTAAGGCCATTTGAAATTAATAAGTCATAATAAAAATGATATAAAATTTTAGAAGAGTTAGGCTAGCATATTGTAGTATCCTCTTATTGATTATAGCAACTAACAGCATAAATTATTCAATAATGTACTTAATTTTTCATAAAGACATATATTATTTTAATATATTCATGGCGATTTCAATCTAATAGAATTACATTTTTTATCAAATTCTATTAAAAAAATAATAAGAACTGATTTATTTTTCAATGAATTGCATAATTATTTGATGGAGGA